TATATATATATATATATATATATATTCTTTTGTTTCCAAATCATGTCATTTTTTTATTAATTAATTATTTTTCTTTGACCGCAAATACACACCATATAAAATGATGCGTTTTCACTTTTTAGCTGCAAATACAAACATCTAACCTCAAGATAATTAAAGCAAATAAATATTACCTCTAATAAAAGTAACCAATCCAATCGAATTCCCTTTTTTTTGCCATTTTACTTTAGATTTCGACAAATAGGCTTGGTTCTTACTAAGCTCCTGCTCACTCTGATCATGAGAACCCGGTTTCCCCTCTGCTGCCTATTTACTGCTCCCTCCTCCAAACACATACACAGACAGACACACGCAGTGGGATGTAGAGCGGATGACAGGTGCTTAAAACACACATTACTTGTAAAGTTGCAGCTTAATAGCGGTCGGCAGCTGCTTTTGTGGACGTACTTGCAAGGAGGCGCTACCATCCCTTTTTTTTTCATCCATCTGTGTTAGAAGTGAGATGAGGTCTCCGAGGTCTTGGGATATAAGCTACAGTTCCAGGGATTGCGGGTAGATGGCACAATTTTCTAACATTTCCGAGCAGAAGCCTTGCGAGCAAAGCAGAAGTGAAGGGTAGTTTGTTTTAATGGCAGGGGGGGCTGGAAAGGAAAGCTTTAAACGAAGAAAAGGGAAACAGAATCAACGATTTATTATCGCTTTGGGGCAAATTTGCAGTATAGTGATATCATTACTTCGACAAGTAGTACTGCAAATAATAGTAATAATTTTCAATCCTGCACATTAACAGAAGGAGCAGGTGTCCCAACTTGCAAAGCGTTTGACTTATGGGATTTATTGCCTCAAACAATACGCTATATATGCAACAAAGCTTTTGTTGCATGGGCTAATTTGTCATAGTGATGGTTCCAAGGTGAGAATAATGCGTGTGTGTTTTCTCGCTTAACTCTTTGGGTGTCTGCGTAAGAGAGAGAGAGGCACACTTGCAAAGCACATCCTTATCTTATTAAACAAATAGCCCCCACTAATAGCCTGTTAGCTCTAAATAAGTTCTCAGCCTGGTGTGTAAACCCCTGCAGCATCCCCACTTCCAGCCTGCAGCAGCAGCCTTTCCATCCCTCTCTTTCGGGTTTCACCAGCTCCTGTGTCACACATTCTCACGTCACCCGGGAACGTAAATAAAAGTGACGTTGCAGCGAGTAACACCTCGTTAGTTCTTTGCTGCTGCGCTAATAAATGAGCATAGGAACAAATGATGGAGTCCCTTATAATAAAATCAGGGTTTGTCAGCCGAAATCAGTCAAGACCGAGAGCCCAAGGCAATATGAAGCCTTTTTTTTTGTTATTGTTGTTCTGATCTGAGGGTGAATCCTGATCTCCTCAGGACGCTTCTATACTTTCCTTCTGCTGTTCTGCTCCCCAATTAAGAGTCTGATTGATGTACAGTGGCCACCTTTGCATGAGTTAACACGTAGGCGGTGCCAAATCTTTTTCCTTCTGGATATAGTGCCCCCTTCATAATCCCTCTTTACACCAAAAAATATTCTCACAAAAAATAAACAATAATAATAACCTTTATGAACTTGTCCTCCCAAAATATCAATATATCAAAATGCTTAATTTAGTTATAGCAACTCTGATTACTAAGAAGGGAATTTTAAAAATACCCATATAAGAATGCATGTTAAGCCAGGTTCATTTGATCCTTCACAACGATTAGAGAAACTAATAATCAGAAAATCTATAAATTTAACAAGATTTTGTACTATTTTGGAAGAGCGAAACACCACTAGAAAGAAAAAGTGAATATCAACTACATTATTCTGTTTCTTTCTTGTATCAAACTTTATACATTTTGTTTATTTTTAGAATTTAAACCAATAGGGTTAAAATGCATGAAAGTCATTAAGTTTTTCTTTCTTTATTAAAAAAAAAGAAAAAAAGAAATATTCCAGACTGTAAATTCCATGCAAAAGTGGGCAACATAGTTGTTAAACTAATGTTACCGTCTATTATCAAAGAGTGACAAGATTTTAATGTGTTTGAATAACCAAGACTCAAATAAAATAAAATAAAAGCGTTTAAAAATCCATATTCTGGTCTGAATTAGCTATATGTAGATATTGCGCCACAGTCCGTCAGTTTATTTAGTAACGCCCCTGCCCAAGGGACATTCGGGTAGAAATGCGCAGAGATATGCGTAGAATCATAGACGAGTGTGGATGATTAGCGCTTTCAACAAAAATAAACAAAAAAATAAGCTCTCCAGCAACGCATGATAATCATAATTTCCTTCATTATCAGTACCAACAAACACGCATGTACCCACCCTGCACACACCACTGCAACAAGCCGCAGCAGCTTGGCTTCAATGCCAATCCTGATTAAACCTCTAATTCAACTTCAGGCTTGACTCCCCAAACTAAGCCAATATCACTAATAATTAAAGACAGGCCAAGGGGTTAGAGCATCACAGTTACGCAACGGCATACAGTGCAGCTGCAACTGGAAACCATTGGCATTCAACATATAAATAATAATAGGAACGTCAAAATAAACTGAAAACGGAATGAAGTTAATAAAACCACAATTACGTGACACCAAGCAGTGGGATGCATCGAGGTATTCATATAATATCATACCCCCCCATTCATATGAATATACGCTGGCTGGTGGTATTATTTAACCCATTCATATTTATGTGTTCATACAGAGAGCTGCGCGCGTAAAAAAAAAAATGAAGCCTTGCATGCAGGAAGCTGAGATTGTATTTTTCATGTGTTTTAGAGAGTATGTCGTGCAGCTCTGATACGTCACATTGTTCTCTTGCAGAAGTTTAACACAAAGAAAGCGTGCGCCCCCGTTTTTGTCCCCCCTTGATGGAAAGAAGTGGATGCACCGAGCCGGCCGCCGTTTGCCTGATTGATTAATTATTTTGTAAATTCATTAATCACTTTCATAGGGCAAAAGTGCAACACCCTGCTACAGCAAATTGACTCCAGTACACACCCTCCCACCCCCCCACCCCACCCTCTTCCACGGCGACCGCACATGCACCACGCACGCACTCACGCACAGGCAAAAGTTCACACGAGATGTATAGATAAAGAGAATAAAAGAAAAAAAACATGAAAAACTTTGTTTTCAAATTCATAAATTATAATTTAATACCAAGAACAAATTTACAGCAGAATGCTTGTTTACAATAAGCTAACACAAACAAAACAAACAAGAATTGTGTTCAACTATAAACTTTCACACACACTCACATATATCACTTGCAATTAATAATAATAATAATAATGATAATGATAATCATAAAAAAAGTATCTATACGTTATCAATACCCTGCAGTCATATATTTTTATATATTTATATAAAAACGTGGGTCAGTTTAAACTGTTCATAATTACAATCATGTATCATTCTCTGGTCCATATGTGGCCACGAACAGCCAAACATCAGTGTTCAATCCCTTTCAGTTCAACCACAACATGGTGTGTTTTTTTTTTCTTTTTCTCGTTGTGTGTGTGTGAATGTGTGTGCGTGTTAAAGAAAAGCTCCAAAAACAAAGACAAAACGCAGCTTCCAGACACGCACACACATGTACGGGAACGCATTCTCTCACACACGCACACCACGGCACCTGTCAAAGAGCAAAGGAGCATTAACAAGAAAGTTAAATATCTGCTCCTTTTTTTCTTTTTTTTTTCCACAAAAATAAAAGTTAAAAAAAGGAAAAAAAAAACATCTGCTCACCCTGTTTGCGTCTTTAGCCTAATTAAGAACGTCCTTTTCCTTTTCCCCCCTCTTTTCTGTCTCTTTAAATACAAGAGCTAGTGTGTACTGAATGCACAGATTATATCTATACAGTCAAAAAAGAAAGAGAGAGAATAAGAGAGAGATAGAGAAAACATTTACATTTATATATCAAAGGTAAAATAGGTTAGCGACCTGTGGCCATGCATTCACAGTCTAAATATACATGAAAAAGAAAACATTTTCCGCAGTAATATGTATATACATTAAAAACAGAACTTTCAGTGCTACCAGCTAAAACCAGCCACTCAATTTTGAAGACGTCTGTATTACCGAGAAAGAAAAAAAAAATGGCAACCACAGATTTTTTTTCTTAATCACATATACTTTGTATAAAGGAACAAACTCATTGAAATGAACTGACCTATATTTACAGGAATACTGCCTCTAAATCAGTGTTCTGCAGGTGAAACACATGACTGAAATCTAACTTTCTTCCGGCCCATCCTTCCCACCCCCTAAACAAAATAAAAATTATGTAGACCTACGTTTACAGGTTTTCTGATAAGAAATCACATCATGCTTGTCAGGCACTTAATGCTAGAAGTGAATAAAGGTTGACATTTCAGGGAAGCTTTAATAATACTGCCATTAAACACCGCTCTGGCTCTGCTTCAAAACTTTTATGACCCCTTGACCTCACCAACTTCTTATTTTACAACAAGCCGGGATATGCTCTCTGTTGTTCTGCGGTGCTGTTGGTTTGAGTTTCTAGTAGTAGGTCTTGGAGACTTGTAAAAATCCAAAATATAGTTTTTAGTGGTGTCCAATTTGATAAAGTGGTGCCAGATATTTGGAGCTGGATTCTAAGTTCCTTTAGTAAGAAGAAAAAAAAAAAAACAAACAGATCCTATAACTTTTAATAGCACAAAATAATAAAAAAAATTAAAGAGATGGGTCAGAAAGTTCAAAACCTCCCTAATCTTGCCCCAGATGGTATTGGTCATCCTTAATATAAGTGCGCTTGCAGCATTAAGCCTTTTCTCCTATTGCTGTGGTTTTAATTCTCTTTAGAACCTCTTGTTTTTTTTATCGGTTTCTTTACATTATTTCACCATTTTTAAAATAAATCATTGTCTTAAAAAATAACACCACCTGAACTACAGAAATCACATATGCCGGTTTGTAACCATAAAGGAGGAACAAAGAAAGTACAAAAACACAGCTATACATGGACACAGGACAAGTCATTTCAGAAAATGATTTTTTTTTTCCCTTTCTTAACGTTTTCTTTTTTTAACCCAATTTTTTTTTTCATTTTAAATGCACTTAATACTTAAAATTTCCTCATAATAATCAACAAAAAAAATCCCTCTTTTTTTCTCATTTTCTTCTTTCATTAAAAATATGAATAGGAGCATGTTGTTCTTGTTGAACACTGTGGGAGCTTGTATTTTGAAAGTTCAGATGGATGTCTTAATTTTCTTTTTTTTTTCTCCTGGGGTGGGGGTGGGGGGGGATTCACAGTCATTTATGTCTTTCTTCATGAAAGCCAGCCTCCTGTAACAGCCGTTTTTTTAATCCTTCCACAAAAGCAGCTATGATCAGTGTAGACCCCCATACACACACACCTTTAAAGCCCCCACCTTTTGTTTTGTTCAAGTTCGACTCCTTCTTGGTTTTACTGAATTGACATGTAAGGCCAGTTAAAACTGCTCCCCGACAGCAACATATCCCTGATGAGAGTTTCAATGGGGGTTTTACCTACCAATCGGACGAAAAATAATTGTTCTATGACCGAGGAAGAGACTGTGCGGAGGGAAGGCAAGCGGAGTAACAACTTCCCAAACCGTGTTGGCTGGTTGGGATACTGGCTCCGGACATATTCCTCCAGGGCGCACTGGGACTTCTCCTGCAAACTTTCCACATGGGCCACATCTGAGAGGCCACAAGCATCTGAGAGGGAGGGAGGGAGGGAGGCAGGGAGGGAAGGGGGGGGAAACAAATAAACATTAATAAAGTGTTCCTCTCACCAGGAGCTTGCTCACCACTGAGGTGACATAATTAATAGCTTTTAAATAAGTATTTTTTTTAAATGCAGATGATTCAATAAAATATTCACAAAAATGCTTTAAAAATATTTATTTTAGATCATGCTCTAATAAGCCCGACTGACAATAATTATTTTTATTATACTATTTAAAATAATAATACTAATAATAAAACACATCATCGTCATCATAAAGCCGGATGATTAAAACGCCGCCTCCGCCTCCACCTTTCATTGCTTTCTATTTCTCTCACTGCAGCCATTTAAAAGGCGATCTAAATAATTAAGCATATTCATGCCTGACCGTAGCGTATTTCTGATGGGACT